CTTATATTGTTGCACTTTTTTTTTTATAAAGATTTTTCTGCACTTCTATGCTTGTCTATTAAGATTCTTATAATATATACTTGAACTGGGTTACTTGCACCTAAAAATTATGCTATATCTATATCTATTTGTGCTATGCAATCTTTTAATTTGTTTAAGCATGCATACTTTTCTGCTGATGTTTTTTGGTTTAAGTTATAATGCTCTTTAATTTCTGCTATTGATATTTTAATTTTAGTTGTTTGTTTAACTTTTTATACTATTCTATTTCTAGAAGCTTCTATTTATTTAACTAATACTTATTCTTATTGTTTATATCTTATTTAGTCAGTCACATTTCATGCTTATTGTCTACTTAGACATGTGCTACTTTGTTTTCTTGTTTGTTTACTAAATTTACATGATTGTTTATGTTGTACTTTGTTTATATCAATTGATTAGTATTACAGGATTACAGCTAAGTTTAAAATTTTTCAAAAATTTTCTAAAAATTTTCAAACAAGCTTTTTATACTTTGATCAAGCAGCTTTTTCCAGAAGTTGTTCTATTAAATATAGCTGTTTTTGTGTTGCCTTTCTTTTTTCTTAATAATACAATACCTGTTTATTTAATTAACTTTGGAGCAAACTAAAATGTATCAATTTATGACTTTACAAAATTAAAAATCAGTGAAAAGAGTTAATAAATTACTGATAAATTAATTGCTAAAATAAGAATTAACCAAAATAAACAATAATTAGTTAATAGAATAAGAATTAAGTAAATAAAACAATAATTAAAAAATAAAAAAATAATGAAACTTATCTTTATACTAATACTTACTAATCATATACTAGTTGGCTCAAGTAAAAAATAACATCTCTATAAAATTTTTAAAATATAGACCATACTCTTCAGATAGTGGCTAAAAATTAATTTTACTATCTACTATAATTTGGTTGAAGTTTTTTTTTCTTTTATTTATAATTTACTTTCTTCTATAACTAACAACTAATCACTGCTACTAGATATATCTGAAGCCATAAAAGAATTGTATTTAAGATTATTGGTATGTTGACTTTTATTAAAAAGCAAACTTTCATTATCAAAAAATTTTTTTGTAAACTTTTATCACTATTATTTTTATTTATTAAAACTTGTAAAGTTTAGCTAACAGTATTTTGTAAACATTCTCTTCTTTGTAAGATTTTAAAAATATTATAAGTAATACATTTTTATAATACAACTTTTTAAGTTGCTTTATTAGTTCAAACTTTTTTTATTTTATTATATTGACAGACTATTAGATAATATATATATGTATATTAATAACTTAGAAAAGAAAGTATTTTTGACCTATAATAAGATTTTAAAATCCAAATAATTATTATTTTCAATTTTCGGCTAATAATATTCAAGAAAAAAGAAAAAATCAAAAAAAATGTAAAGTTTAATAAAGATCTACTTATATAGATTTTTATGGCAATGTTTATATTTAATCAATTCCAAACCTAATTTTATAAACTTGATAAAATATCTTTAAATTTATTAAATTTATTAGCCAAGTTTTGGTTAACATAATACATATTTTTCATTTGCACATGATTTTGACCTTTCTATTTATATTAAAATATTAAACTAGTCATTAGTATACAAGTCAAATTCAAATATATATATGTATAATATATAACTGTAAATTAAATTTTTTTATATAATTTTATTCTTATATATACACAAATAAGATAAATACTATTAATATCTTGAACATTTTTGTTCTTTAATAAAGTCCTTAACAGAAGTATTCTTGTGTTAAAAAAGCTGAAGAACAGGATTCTATATAACAAAACAAATATAAAAAATATAAGAAATTGTAAAAAAAATATAAATAACACAAAACTTTACTATGATAACTAACTTTTGACTTTAAGTAAAAGTTTTCAAAATAAAATTTTACTTATAATATATGATCATTAATATTAAATATATAGAGAAATTTTGATATACTATGATCTATATCTTTTTGGCTAGCAGCTCAAAATTTTCTTGACATAAAGAAATTCTCTTAACAGGAGATTACCCTGCATTTTCTGCATTTTATACATAGTGTAAATCTACTCTAAATAAGAAAATATTTAATTAAAAATTACTAAAATAGCAAATAATAATATGATATATATATTTTTTTAAATATTATGATAAATATATTTTTTTATTGAGTATATATCATGTTTAGGGATTGAAATTAGTTTAGTTGACTAATTAGTTAACTAAACATAGTAGTTAACTAAACCAATTTCTATTTCTAATTATGTTAAGCATTTAGCATTATTGTTAATATTATATTAATCAATGTACTATTTTAACTTAGAGCAATTACATCATTATTAAGCATTATTTATTATTTATATTACTATTATTAATGTTATCTGCAAATAGCATTAGTCCAGCTTAAGAAGTAATCTAAAATTCAATTGTTGCAAGAAGCTTTTCTATTAGTTGTAAATATTTCTATATTAATTATTATATAATTTAAATTTTTGACAAAATCAATTACATCTTTGTTTAAAAAGATTTCTTAAACAAAGAGATTAAATAATTATTGTATTGCGATGGATAAACAGTGAGTCTGTCACTTCATTGAACAAGACCTTGCATAATGTTATGAATTCAGAATAATATGGCTTCATGGCATGATAAAAGATTTGACCAGTATCAATTTTATTATTATAATAACTTTGATCCTTTTCTTCCTACTTGGGGTATCAAAAGATTTTTATTTCTTTATTAAAATTATGCTTTGATTTTATATATTTTGTTGTTACTAATAAATTTTATTTACTTTTTAGGTTCCATTCTAATTTTCTCATCATTCCACTATTATAGAATCATACTACTGCAAGTTTTACCTAAACTAGGTAAGTATTTGATTTCATTGGTTTTACTTTTAGTTTATTTTATTATAACTATACTAACCTACTCTTTTACTATCTAAATTCAGCCACTCTGAAACATCGTATTTATGATTTCATGCCATCTCTGATTTGGATACATTTACTTGGATTGATTGTTTTGGTATTGGGAACATGATTATATATATTTTACTGTTATGAGGTTGGTCATGCATAATCAATCCTGGGTTCTGATCAGCATTTATGCAATGTATTGTAATGCATGAACTATTACAAATTTTTTACCTGCAACAGTATAAAATTGGTAAATTTTTCAATATTTTTAAACCAATCTCTAAATGTTCTTTGCACATCTGTAACATTTATATGATGTTTTAAGAAAGCTGCCTAATTTCTTTCTGTAATATATTTAGAAATCTGTTGTATTGTTAGCTGTTTTACCTTGGTTAATCTATAATTTTTATTAATTTATTGATATTTTTTAATATTGGTAAAAAATTTATTATAATAATCTTGCTTATACTTTCTGATAAATTCTAGGGCCAGCTTTTGAAGTTCATGTCTTAATGTTGCATTATAATCTTGATAACATCTAAAAACCCATCTTTGCAATGCAACACATTTTGATACATCAGCATATTGAATATCTGAAAACAAGAATCTTATTAGTACATTAATAATTTGCTTGTCAACCACTTATGTATAAAAAAAAAACATTTCAAATACATCCAAAGCATTCTAAGATCCTATTTAATAGGAAGTAAATAACTGTATTATCAACATTAATCAAATAGTATATGATTGCCACAAAGCTAAAACATACAAATATTATAAGATTTGTATATTTTAGCTTTGTGACAATTATATCAAAATTGGGTTTTGAATTGCTGCCACTTGCAGAGCTTTAATTAAAACTTACTCTTTTTAAAAGCATACTAAACTTATCAAATTTTCCCTATATAATTACAGATTCTTAGCCATCTGCATTTACTATGCTTAGTACTAAATTGATAAGAGCTAGATATTGCATTAAGTACAAACAGACTTCAAGGTCACTTTTAAATAAACTAATTAAGAAAGATGAAGAGATGTTAATTGTGTTTGATGTGGTTAATACTAATGATATTAATTAACAATATTTTCAAATAAATAGTTTTTAATTAAAAAAGAAAAAGTAATGTTGAGTGTTGGAAATAGTTGGCTATAAACACTCTTAAGTAAATGCCTTTTGGCTTAGGAAAACTAAGTAATTTTAGATATTAGAAAGCATTGGTTATAAAATTTTCAAATAAGGGGCTTATAATTAAAGATAATGATTTATTTGATGCTTGTTCAATTTGTAGTTAGATATTTTTAAATATACAAAAATGTGAATATAAGCCACCCACAGTCTGAGTTATATCTAAATTATTATACAAATTTAATATTTTCTGAATATGATAAATAACAATAATAAAACTATACTATTGTTACTATTTGTCAAACAAAATTCTTTATTTTTTTTTCTTCTTTACATTAGTATGATTCAAAATTTTTTTTCTTTTTATTTTCTGTAATTTCAACATTCATAGCTTGTGAATCATCTTCAAATAAATTTTTATTTTTTTTAATATTTCTTAGAGAAGGTTTAGAAGCTAATTCTTATAAATAAAAATAATAAATAATAAATAAAAGAATTTTAATAACTAAGAAAAATTTATCTCTTACTAACATGTCTTTTGTTATATTTTTGTGTTATAACTATTTCAAATCTAATATGAATTAAATAATTCTAATTAAATTTCTTTTTTTTTAACTTTGTTTAGTACTATTCTCTTTATTATCAATCTTACAGATATGTGTTTCTTTATTCTATTGATTATTGAGAAAAGAATTAAATTTTTAACAAACTTGTTTTTTAATTTAATTTGGCTACATGTCATTATATATTTTTATTACATAATTAATGCATAGAACTTACATTGATTTTAAAAGATTGCACAAATTACCATATAGCATAGTCTAAAAACCATAATGTAACAACTAGCATAAAGCAATTTTTAAACTGCTATTTATATATGTATATAATATATAATATATATAACTATTAATTGTTTATTATGCAAAGAAATCATGTCAACTGGATATTTTAGATCTAACATTAATTGTTCAGAGCTATTGCATATCCAATTTCAGCTTTACAATTTAAAAATTTTGCAAATTCTGCAGTATATTTGCTTAATTCACTTAATTTGCAAAATTTGCAGAATAGTAATTTGGTAATCCATGAAGTGAAATTAGATAAGAAGTATGTTGAACATTTAACTTAAGGTATAATAAATCAATAAACTAGCTGACTTTTATATATTTTGTAAAAATATACTTTTTAAATCTCAACTAATATAAAAACTTGACTATAATATAAAAATATAAAGTTCAGAGTTATAAGGTTTATAAACTTTGTAAGAAGTTAAAATATAATAGTACTTTAACTATTATAACAATTATTAAATAAAATTATTGCATAGGTTTTATGTAACAACTTGTGCTCTTTTCACTTATTTACAGCATGTGTTTACAAAAAGAACTAAATTGAAATGCATTTATATTTTATCAAATATGAAAGTCTTCTGATTTAGTTATTTTATTTTTATTAAATTAATTTGTTTTTATATTTTTAAAGTTGTCATTATAACATTAGGTTTTTATATCTTTAAATTGTTATTAGATAGTATCAATATTAGTTTGATTTTATTTTTATTTTCTTTAAAATTGTCTTAAACTAATTAATATAACTAGTCTTTTATTAAAATTTTATTAAATAAAATTAGGTGTTATTAGGTTTTCATTTCTTTAAAGATTCTTTAAATTTTTATTAAACAGAATTAAGCATTCTTAGATTTTACTTTTTTTAAAGTTCTTATTAGTTTTTTTTTTAAAATACTTACTAAACAGAATCATGTATTTTAAATTTTAGTTTAAGTTTCTTGTTGGACTGAGTTTATATTATAAAGTTTTATTTTTTTCAAATTCTTGTTAGATTGCTAATATATATTAAATCTTTTCATTTTTAATTTTAGTATATAAAATCAAACATTATTAGACTTTTGTTTATTTAAATTTTTATTAGACAAGCTGTATATTATTAAGTCTTTACTTTATATATTTCTACTAGACAGAATCATATATTATTTTATTTTTAATTTTTATTAAATAAGGTCTTAATATTATTAAAATTTTTTTTTTTTTAAAATTTGAATAAGGTTATATATAAATAAGATGAATAAGTTTAGTTTTTTGTTTTTTAAAGAAATTCATATTAGACAAAGTTTTCACAACAATGTTAAAATGGTCTTTTTTTATTGATTTAAAAGGTGTCATATAGATTGTTACATCAGATCTATACAATAATATAGTTATTATAAGAAATTATATAAAATAACTAAATTTGCAAAAATCAACTTGTTTTACATAACTAAAGACTATGTAAACTGGTTAATCTATACAAATTTAGTTATTTTATACAACCTATATAATAATTATAACTTAATAATTTATTTTATATTAGAACAAACACAAAAAATCAGGTTTAATATATTTTATTTTTATTAGATATTAGTGTTTTAGAATAGATTTAAATATTTATTTCTTGTAATTTTTATTTTATTTTACCTTTGATTTGTTTTTTCTTTTTTAATTTGTAGCATATTAGAACAATTTTTTTAATAAAATTTTAGTTTGTCTGTAACAATATTATAGTTTAGATTTAAAGTTATAAAAATTTAATAATAAAGACTTTTGCTAGTATTAATTTTATTATATATTGTGAGCCTGATTTTTAAAGTCACAGGTGACCAAATCAAAGTAATGATCCTGACCCGATCCAAGGTCACATGGACTAATGGAAATGTCACTTATGTTACTTATATTGCTTCTATAACTTAGCCTACATATAAGTTAAACAAAATATTAGTGTTTTATTAGACTTAGTTAGAATATAGAATATAAGAAATCTAATGTGTTTATGAAAAAAATTAACTGTAAATGTAAACAAAATGTTTATTATAAATAAAGGGCATTTTTGTCTTGAGAGAAAACGATCTCTATATTTTTAACAACAAATTCCTAATACTAAATTCTCTAATAACAAATAAATACTTGACCCTTAATACAAGTAAAAGTCTACCTTATACAAACTAATAAATTATCATAAACCCTATTGTTACCCTTATTGTTCATTCAAATAAACCCTTAAACTCACAAGTCAATTACTCACTGCAAGTTATATGACAAGACTGTTACTAAAAGAAAAGTTTCAACTCTGATTTGACATAGTGTAATTCTGGGTTGAAGTACAAAAAGAAGATAAAAAGAAGGTAAAGAGAAGATAAAAAGAAGATAAAGAGAAAATAAAGAGAGAAGATAAAAAGAAGATAAAGAAAGATAAAGAGAAAATAAAGAGAAGATAAAGAGAAGATAAAGAGAAGTTAAAGAGAAGATAAAGAGAAGATAAGAAGAAGACAAAGAAGATCATATTAAAGAAAAGCCCTAAAGAGAAAATTAAAACTTATCTATAGATAAACCATCTAGCCAAATCTAACATGCCTAATTCGACTTAGCCACTATAGGTTATGCAAGAGTTGGATTAATTTAGTGACAGACTTGCTAATTTCAGAATTACAATATATACTTATTTTTATATATATTAGTTTTTTATTCAAGGCAATTTAAAATCAAAACTTCTATTAATTTTGATTAACTAATAAATTTTTTATTATATTATAAAAATTTGGCACTTACAATAAAAGTCTGCTATACTGCTATTCATCAAGCGAAAATATTTTTAGATTATTGTAATTTTATTACAGTATAGGTCTATTTCTTTAAAAATTTTTTATTTTAAAATAAAAAAATCAAATTCATTTAAAAATTATATAAATAATTATATATTTAAGCCAGAATTTTGTAAATAATAATTATTAACCAATTAAATTTAATAAAAACTTGGTATAGTAGTTAGTTTTTTTTATATAATAATTTATTATAATATTTACAATATTAATATAGTTATATATTATAGTTAGTAAAAAAATATATTTTATATTAAATTAATATTATAAATATATTGTAAAAATAATTTATTTTAAATATTATTATAATACAATTTAATATATTAAAATTACATTATTTAAATACTATAAAAATATTTATTTAATAATAATTTTAAATATTATTACAATATTATTTAAAATATTAAAATAGTGTTATAAATATATTGTAAAAATATTTTAATTTTATTTATTTAATAATAATTATAAATATTGTTTTAATATAATTTAATATATTAAAATAATATTATAAATATATTGTAAAAATATTTTATTTTTATTTTATTTTTTTTCTCTTTGGCAGCCTTACTATTAATCTTTATTAAAATTTGTATTTATAAATTTGTATATATTTTGACCTAATTTATTAGTTCAACATTCTCTTACTGCTTCAATAAGTGCTTAGAGGCAGTTTTCTATACCAGTTAGAGTAATAATTCAGATTTGAAGGCTGTACCAGATTAGTCTAAAAGACCATATGAAAATAGTCTTACTTTACTTTTTATATAACTTTTAATTGAACCAAATCACATTTCCTTTATTTAATATTTTCTACCTCTTTTGACTTCTTAATCTTCTTAGCAGTTTTGTTTCTTTCTACTTTAATTAAATTATCTATTTGACTATGTATTTCTTTACTAGGTAATTTTACATTTTTTTCTAGTTTTCTTTGCTTTAATGATTAGTTAATGTTTATTAGCTTTTTCTATTTAATAATAGTTTCATATCTTTTTTTCTATATATTTTTATAAAACTCATTTTATGCTATATTGGTTACTATGTCTAAAAAATCTTTTGTTTTCTTAAGTAACTTTAGTATATTTGTATTTGTTTAATTATCTTTTTTTGAACTAGACATTTAACTATTCCTATTCTTGTTTTTTATTTTTTTTGCTTGTTTACTCACCAAAAGATTTTCTTAAATTGCCTTTTGTTTATAATAACTTATATTTCACTTGAGAGTTTAGTTCATGTAAGATAAATCAATAGATCTTTTATTTTTTTTTAATTATTCTTATAATACTTACATGATGCCAAATGTTCATGGTTTTCTTTCTTTTCTTTATTGCAGAATATACAAAAAGGACTTTTGTAAAGATCTGGCCTTTATTGTATTAAAGATTTTAGTAATGATAATTTATTATTAAAACATTTAATTAGAGTTCCTATTTGTGTATTTTTTTTTTGGCTTGTACATCTGCTTTTATTTTGGTCTTTGATCTTTTTTATAAGTATGTTCAATTGTATACTTTTTTCTTATTATCTGGCTCTATCTTTTTAATTACTGATGAAAAATCCTATTTAGCTTCTGTTTGTAGATCTAAAATTTCCTTAATAAACTTTCTTATTAGATCTTCTATAATTTCTTCTTTTTAATAAATATTTTAATTTTATTTATTTAATAATAATTTTAAATATTATTATAATATAGTTAATATATTAAAATATTATTATTATGCAGAGAACCAAGTTAATAACAACCAAACTCAATGTACAGAGCAAACTATGGTACTTTTTGCAGCTGTGAGAGCTGAGTATATAGTGAGTAAAACTACAGAAGAATCTTCTATTTTCTTGAATTCTATTTCATCATCTTATATCAAGAAATCTTTGCAAAAACCAATTCACAAGACATTATATTATCCAGACTCTTGCTATAACTAATGGTTAACATGTCTAATGTTACCTCTACTTTTACATTTACAAATACTCAACTTATTCTTAAAACATATCTATCAATACAAATTTATACAATACAATAATTTTAACTATGCACTCAAATTAGCAATCAAACTTGACTACAGTGAATGTTATATACATTTACCATATGTGTCTCAACTTCTATTTGATTATTTCTTTCTACAACTATCAGGTTATACCTACTATCCATCTATATCTATTCCCTCTAAATTCTTTCTAATAAACAATAATACATTAAATATTAATTTAATTATAAAGGATAATGAACTTGTTAACATTTACTCTTAATTAATAGAAACTATCTTCAAAGGCCATAATGAAACTACCATAGCTAAAGAATACTATAACAATATCTAATTTAATATCTGTTATAACAAATTTCTATTTTATAACTACATACTACTACTTTTTCATACTCAAACTATTAATATTTTCTTATGACACATTCACAGCTTTGGCTATTTATCTGATAACTTATATGGCTATATATTAACTATCTTTATTAAAAATGACTATAGTGA